GGCTCCAACCATCCCCCAGCTCAGCCCAGCCATGGCCCTACTAACCCCTGCTCCACCCCCTCCCTCACCGCAGGGGCCTCGATCTGCCCCTCCCCCCCGCCAGACTGACCTGCTAGACAGTGGGGGGGGCGGGGGGGCACAGTAGATCCTGGATTGCCTTTTATTTTAAAAAAGTGATCTTCACCTTAAAAAGGTTGGAGACCACTGAGTTAAACAAACTTCATTGTCTTATCTGGTATTTAGCTTAGGCGTAGGAATTCTTTCCCAGATCTGAGGAAGGGCACTGTGTGTCGAAAAGCTTGTCTAACATCTCTCCCAACTATACAGTTGGTCCAATAAAAAAACATTACCCCCCCAAAAATTGATTGTTGTATACTCCTTGGCCCATCACGGCTACAACACCATTTCTTCTTGGAGGGCACTTTTTCTTGGTGGGCGCATCAGTATGTGTGCTTTAATGCGCAGAAGACTATTTTAATGTGCATTAAAGTGTCACATAAAAAACCATGCCATAACACTAATGTGTAGTAAAACAGTCTACTGAGCATTACGCATCATTAAAATGATTGCAGATGTGATACAGTACATTAGTGCAGCCTAGTGTTCATTAATTTAGTCACATTGGAGGTACTAAGTTTAATGTGCATTAGAAAAGGTGCATTAATGCATATGTAGACATGCCCAGTAGCTCTGAAAGTGGTCTACAGTGCAGGTCAATGTCACTATCCTCATTTTGCAGATGAGGGAAGGTGAAATGATTTGCCCATATTCATCCAACACATGAGAGGTACAGCCAGGAAAAGAATCCAGCTTTTGTGAATTACAGCCTTGTGCTTTAACCCGCAGACTAGAAGATGATAGATCCATGCTGCTATGTTAGAGTCCCAATGGCCTTTGATGCTGTTGTTTGTATTTGTTGACATGCCAGTGAATCATGAATCATGCCTAATGCATGAGTTCTCAGCCTGCCCTTCAGTAAACTTGGGATTCAGTAGATTTCTGCTTTCACTTTTACTACTGTTCCAACTATATGGGGGTAGGTACATCATTGCATTTCCCTGGGTGCATCTACATATGCATATTTACTGCACAGTAAGCAAAAGTACTGCACAGTATGGGCATGTGTCTGCACATGCACACCCATACTGAAAAGTAAATATGGCAGTAAATATGGCATCCTGCAGGTATCAAATTTACACCCGATTAGTAGGGCTGTCCAAAGCTTTGGGTGGTGATTCGATTTGGAGGAGATTCGGCCTGATTTGGTGGCTGAATCACCAAATCTGAATTGAATCAGTACCAGTTAAAAGGTCCAAATTGATTCAAAGCTCTCCAAATATTTGGAAAAGATTTGAAGAGCTTTGATGATTCAGACAGTCCCTTGTGGCTGCAGCAGGGAGCTGGTGCTGGACATGGAGCTGGTAAGTAGTGGGGGGGAGGGGAGGCTGGAGTGTGGGGAGAGGACCATGGGGGTCTCTCTGCCAGCTCCCCCAGCCCCCCCGACCCACACCCCCTCCCTCAGCCCCCCCATGGCTGCCCCGCC